CTGCGGATCGGCGGAGGGGAGCGGAGTGGAGCACGCGAGACGAGGCTGCGGGATGTAGGGAAGCGAGCAGCAAGTCTTCAGCGTTCAGCAGCCGCGCTAGCTCGCATCTGGGCAGCCTGGGAGAGCAGGCAGATATATAGAAGCCGGGGTGTGGAAGGACACGCCCCGGAACGGCGCGGGTGGGGGTGGGGTGGGGTGGGCTGGCGTAGGCTCGGCTCCGGGGCCCGCGCCTCCCTGGGAAGCGGGACCAAGGACGGGGGCGCGCTGCGCGCGTCTTCACTGGGCACCTGCTCCGTGTGCGCACGCCCGGTACTCGAGCCACCCCTTCGTCCCCGGGAATCGTGGGCACTGGAGCCCTAGTCACTTCAGGGCCTCTTGATTCCCCCCAATGAAATGACTCTCAGCCAACTTGGCGCCCTGGACACTGCAGCCCCTCCCCCCTGGATGCCGGGTTTAGGTGCCCTCCTGAGCTGATTTATGTTTGAGAAGCTGGCGTGGGCCCATTCAACTCCTGTGTACTTTGCAAAGTTTCTGTAATTGAATGCCTCTTGTAGAGCATGTTGCATTTCCCAGCGAGAACGCTCGGATCATATTTAAATCTGCACCGCTGGCCACTTGAGCCTCCAGAGTCTCGCACTGAACAATCGAACGTGACGGTCGCGGGTTCTAAAGATTTGCTTTTCAAAGCGGTTGTGACTCAAATCTCTTACTTGGCCACACTTCTCCAGTTAGCCGAATGGGCAGCGAGTGCGTCCTTACGGGAAGGTGGTTTCAAAGATGTTAAGTTCCACAAGTTCTTACTTGGAGTTTCTTTTTAGTTAAACAGATACATCTGCGATGAAGTAACTACGGAGACACTGAAGCGGGTGCCATTGAAACATGATTAATAACGAGAGTCCCTAAGACGTTTAATTTTCACAACCATTTTTGAAGTCATCGTTGCATCCCTGTACTAAATTCTCTGCGATACGCTCCGGGGCAGCCTAATCGGCACATCCTGAACACCGCGAAGAGTTGAAATCCTGACGCAATAGTGCTCTTGAGTTCCCTCAGCCATCCAACTTTCTCTTGTCTAGCTCTCTTGAAAGTTTACACGCTCCTTTCAGAGGCGACCAACAGAGGACGCCAGTGGTCCAGAATTGAATTGACAAACTTTTCGGCCTTTTATTATTATTTTTTTTTCTCTCCTCTTTTTCTTTTCGAATCGTTTGCGGATGAGCGGCAGGAACTTGTGGGAGCAATTGGAAGAAGACTTCCCTGGATGCCCTTGAAATGAGTGTTTACAATAGGGACTGGAGAGGTTTTTTTTGGGCGGGGGGTGACCCAATGCAATTTTATGTAGTAGGAAACCAAGACGACTTCCCCACATATCCCTCCTTTATCCACCATGCAGTTTTTGATGAAACTGATTCATGTGTCTTGATGTCTCCCTGAATCTGTGACTCACTTTCCATCTATATATTTGTTTTAATTTTAGTTAAAATGATTTGTTTTAAATTTAGTTCTTTATTATTAAATAATAATGCTAAAATTTGGCATTATTAAAGGAAAAAATTCGAAGATCAGAAATGTGAAGACTTGGGCTCCGTGGTAGCCAGCCAAGGCCCAGCACCCCAATTTTCACATATTTCTTCCTCAAAGTGTTCAGGTTGCGGTTAGACTTATCATCGTCTACCAAAAATTGCCCTGATTGTCCCTCCTTTTCTCCCGTGTATCAACGCCCAAGAATAGGGCTTCTGATTTCATTAGAAAATTGAAAGAAAGAAAAAGAAAACCCAGTGTTACACTTGTTCTTTAAATAACCTCAGAGACCTTGACTCCAAAATTAGAACAAGGTTCAGTATCAAAAATGATTCTAGAAGTGGCAGGCTTCCCCTCTGTTAGGTACAATGTTACACACCAAACCAGTCTGGTCGGTGGTCAGTGTAGCACTTTTACCCGGCTTTATCATCACACTAGGAGGCGGGGGACTCCTAGAAGGAATGGCTTGGAGAAGATAAAAGGGTCTTTAGAGTGGCTCTCTTCACAAAGAAGGAGCCCTTTCTGTTTGAGAAATGAACGCTTGTTCCAAGTGGGACTCCTAGAGGGCGCCAAAGCTCCAGGTCTCCGCCTGCGTCTCAAGAGTTTTCAGAGGCTCGGTCCCTGCAAGTGCTGACCTTCATCAGCTTTCTCGTGGAATCGTGCACCATCTGGGTACATTAGTGACAATTAGGCGAGGAGAATTTTGCTTAAATATTTAGCTGGGTTTTTTTTTTTTAACAAAAACTTTAGGGCGCCCCTGCCCTGAAAATAATTATTTCTGGAAGGATTTAGGTGGGAGAAAATGTAATTTTATGACGTGTTAGTTAATTATGTCAAACTTTAAAACTGGTGTTTGTGGCTAGGAATGTAACATGTGCAGTGGTGAAGATGTGCTCTTCCCTTCGGAAGGGACTTGGCATTCAACTGTGAATAATGACGATGGGCTGGGGGCTCAGTATTTCCGAACAGAGCCCCGCCCACTGACCTAACTATAATTAGAGATTCCAACTGCCAGCTGCTTATCTTACCCAACTGATACAAACTCCTCACTGTCTGGAGCTATCATCTTTAGTTGGATACCTTTGTGCAGGATATTGGTCTTTCTTCTGCTGCTCAGGGCTGGCTAAGTATCTCAGGGTTTCTATTGCTATGAAGAGACACCATGACCACAGCAACTTATAAGACAAGCATTTAATTTAGGGGGCTTGCTTACAGTTTCAGAGGTTTAGTTCATTATTATCATGATGGGGAGCGTGGCGGTATGCAGGCAGACGTGGTGAGGGAGGTGTTGCTCAGAGTCCATCTTGCAGGCAACAGGAAGTCGACTGAGACATTGGGTGGCATCCTGAGCATAGGAAACCTCAAAGCCCTCCCCCACAGCGACACACTTCCTCCGACAAGGCTACACCCACTCCAACAAAGCCACACCTCCTAATAGTGTCATTCTCAATGCGATTATGGGGCCAAATACATTCAAATTATCACACCAAGCAAGCAGAGAGCCTCAAGTCCTTAGCATTATAGGCAGCAGGCACTGGCTTCAGATTCCCCAGGAAGGTGACTGTCGTATTTACTGATCTCTACTAGTCTCCTAAGGGCAGGGAGTGTTGGAGACCTAGTTCTAGGACTCAGTGTTACTCAGTCTAAAACTCGAGAACTCCCCACAGGGTAAGTGGGTGGGGCAAAGAGCCTAATTTTCCCGCCCTCGGGTCAGCTTCTGGGTGAGTCTCCCACAGTTACATCTTCCAGACTTTTACGGGACCATTAACTACCAAAAATCATTGCCATTAATAGTGTTGCAGGTGACTTACCCAAAGAGCCCCATTGAAGCTTGAACCAGCCACAGAGATCCACAGGCAGTCCAGGGGAATTCAGTGGAGACCAAAGGCTCATGGATAGCATGGCCACAGAGAGCAGAGGGGCCTCACAAGTGAAGTATCCCAACAGTTGAAGGACAGACCTGTTTAGGTGGCCCGGACAAGCTTCAGAGGGGTGAAGCATTTGAGCCTCACAGAACTGCAAGGCCAGCAGAGGGAGACTAGGAAGTGTTTTCCCAGAACAGCAGTAGCTGTTGACTGTGGATCTCGACCCCTTTGGAGGTCAAACCATCTGTTCACAGGGGTCGTCTAAGATCACTGGAAAATACAGATATTTACACTATGATTCATAACAGTAGAATAATCATAGTTATGAAGTAGCAACAAAAATAATTTTCTGGTTGGAAGTCGCCACGCGTGAGGGATTGTATAAAGGGGTCTCAGCATTAGGAAGGTTGAGAACCCCCACTCAGAGAGTTGTTCTGTCCAGAAAAGGTGGGGTGGGTTGAGAAGAGACAGTCTTGACCTTGGCAAGTGTACTTTGGAGCAGGCAGACTTCTGAAGTGTGGAAGCGAAGGTGGCTGGGTAGAGCGGGATGGAGAAGATGGCATTGGAATGCAGATCCTAGGGGTTGGGCTTGCTCAGAGGCAGTGCTGTCTGGTTTGACAATTTGGAGGTAGATCTCACTGTTAACCAAGGTCATAATGTCAAGAATAGTAAGAAAGGCTGGGGAATGTGCAGAATACACACAAAGGTACTGCTGGCTCATTCTTCCCTTGCTGACTCTGGCTTGAAGCAGACTGCAAACCTTGAGTATAGGGTGAAGTAGATTCATGGTGTAGATGGAAGGAACAACTCTTAGATACCCGTGGATGGGAAGTCAGACCTCATTTCTGTGTTTGCCTACTCATCTGCTCATCTGAACAAATCTTATATGTGAAATTTGGTCCTCCAGTGGGTGCCAGCTAACAGCCCAGATGCCCTTGTCTCCTTGTTCCAAATGATAGCCTGCTACACGTGATGCTTCCAGCTTGCGGATATGATATGTGTGGTCTTCACATTGACCTGAATATAACAGGTTCTTCCCTTGGCCAGTGAATCTAGAAGAAAAGACAACTGGTGAGTGCTTTTCATCCAGTTGATGTTCCCCTAGCACCAATTCCTCCTTGAGAGCTTCAGAGGCCTGTTCTCTCTCTCTCTCTCTCTCTCTCTCTCTCTCTCTCTCTCTCTCTCTCATGTCCCATCTCATTCTCATTCCCCTCCCCCTCCCTTTCTTTTGGCTGGGTTTCCTAGAGCACTCATCTCAGATTCCGCAGTCCACTCTCCATCTCATTGGTTAGTAGATAAATAGATTTTTTTTCTGCTAAGAGATAACCAACATAGATGACAGGATCCAAGTGTGCAGCTTGACACACTTTGACTTGTGTGACATTCACATGGTTTTTCTGAGTTCCCCTTGCTGTTGATTTCTACCTTTATTCCACTGTGGCCTAATGTCTCTCTCTCTCTCTCTCTCTCTCTCTCTCTCTCTCTCTCTCTCTCT